CTAATAGTTATTTCACAGACACAAAAACTGTGTTACATGGTGTTATAGGAGAGCTGCCCAACCCTGCTCCTGGAGATCTGCCGCCCTAAATTAACACACCTGATACAGATAATCAGGCCCTTCAGGTGCATCTTAGTATTAGAGTCAGCTATGTTGAAGCTAAGCTGGCTCTAATACTGAAATATTACTGAAGGGCCTGATTATCCTTATCCGGTGTGTTAAATTATGGCAGCAGATCTACAGGAGCAGGGTTGGGCAGCCCTAGGTTTCAGAGGCCCTAAAACACATGGGTGTAATGATACAAAGCATACATGAGTGGTTGGGTTTCAGTTGCATGTAATTTGAAATCTTTCTTTAATGTATAATTCATGTGTCAGGATGCACCATAAAGATGGACACTAGAACCATTGTGTCACGTCCTGCCCACCGCATCTGCCTGACCCTGCTGTCTCCTCCCACGTCTGGTGCTTATTTGTCTCGCCTCTCGTTCCTGCCCTCATGTTAACCACTCCCAGCTGCCTCTTGTCTGCTCCGTCTTTAGTCACGTATTAATGTGCCTCCCAGTGCTGTATTCCCCAGCTCCATCATTAACATAGTTACTTGGTGTTGCTCATTGCTTGTCTTCCTTTGTTGCCCTGTTTTGATTCCCTGGTTGTTTTCAGTTTTGTGCTTTTGAGTTTAATAAATCCCTTTTGTATTTACACTGAAGGAAGTAATATATATATATATATATATATATATATATATATATATATATATATATATATATATATATATATGCGCGCAGGTCCAGGTGTGTCCACTTATTCTACTAAAAATCTATATTGCCTAATGAAGAAGATTTAACAGTGCATTTTATTAATTAATGAAAGCATAAAATAATGACAAAATACACAGTCAGGATAATAGTAACTGTTTTCCATAAAACTGTATTGAGAGTGGGGAGTTTGAATCCTACCTGGGATCCCTTTATATACTGTAGCTATAAATTTCAGAACATTAAGGCTCCTGAATGCCCAAAGCTTCTTCAATGCAGATGATTAATGTATCATCCATGAGGGACGACAGACTGGGCTCAAATATCACACAGGAAAGCTCATTCTAACATCCATGGAAGGCTGCTGTGTGACAGCCCATTTTTCTCATTTTAATGCCAACTTAAGACATCATTATCTGTGTTTATGATCAACCCCGGTCCATTTATTCCCTGAAGGGAGGCTACTAAGATGTAAAACAACAATTTTTTAAGATATCCACTCAGTTTCAGTAAATACTTCTTCAGACAGGGTCAGGATGATGGAATAAAGACACATTATTTATCTCTGCATTTTTATTTTTTCCTGCCATCTCATCATGCTCTTCATGAGACACACACACACACATATATACACTCACCTAAAGGATTATTAGGAACACCATACTAATACAGTGTTTGACCCCCTTTCGCCTTCAGAACTGCCTTAATTCTACGTGGCATTGATTCAACAAGGTGCTGAAAGCATTCTTTAGAAATGTTGGCCCATATTGATAGGATAGCATCTTGCAGTTGATGGAGATTTGTGGGATGCACATCCAGGGCACGAAGCTCCCGTTCCACCACATCCCAAAGATGCTCTATTGGGTTGAGATCTGGTGACTGTGGGGGCCATTTTAGTACAGTGAACTCATTGTCATGTTCAAGAAACCAATTTGAAATGATTCGAGCTTTGTGACATGGTGCATTATCCTGCTGGAAGTAGCCATCAGAGGATGGGTACATGGTGGTCATAAAGGGATGGACATGGTCAGAAACAATGCTCAGGTAGGCCGTGGCATTTAAACGATGCCCAATTGGCACTAAGGGGCCTAAAGTGTGCCAAGAAAACATCCCACCACCACCAGCCTGCACAGTAGTAACAAGGCATAATGGATCCATGTTCTCATTCTGTTTACGCCAAATTCTGACTCTACCATTTGAATGTCTCAACAGAAATCGAGACTCATCAGACCAGGAAACATTTTTCCAGTCTTCAACTGTCCAATTTTGGTGAGCTCGTGCAAATTGTAGCCTCTTTTTCCTATTTGTAGTGGAGATGAGTGGTACCCGGTGGGGTCTTCTGCTGTTGTAGCCCATCCGCCTCAAGGTTGTGCGTGTTGTGGCTTCACAAATGCTTTGCTGCATACCTCGGTTGTAACGAGTGGTTATTTCATCAAAGTTGCTCTTCTATCAGCTTGAATCAGTCGGCCCATTCTCCTCTGACCTCTAGCATCAACAAGGCATTTTCGCCCACAGGACTGCCGCATACTGGATGTTTTTCCCTTTGCACGCCATTCTTTGTATACCCTAGAAATGGTTGTGCGTGAAAATCCCAGTAACTGAGCAGATTGTGAAATACTCAGACCGGCCTGTCTGGCACCAACAACCATGCCACGCTCAAAATTGCTTAAATCACCTTTCTTTCCCATTCTGACATTCAGTTTGGGAGTTCAGGAGATTGTCTTGACCAGGACCACACCCCTAAATGCATTGAAGCAACTGTCATGTGATTGGTTGATTAGATAATTGCATTAATGAGAAATTGAACAGGTGTTCCTAATAATCCTTTAGGTGAGTGTATATATACTGTATATATATGAGAGAACAAGTTTTGAGGTACAGGGTAGGCAGGCTTCCAGCATGCCTAGAGCCCAACAGTGACATCACAGGATTTGAACCAATGACATTCTGATTACATATTACATACACAGAGTACTAACCCATGATGGAACCATCTCGGCATGCATAAAATAGAACGAACCCTAATGGAAAGGCAGTCGATCACTTGCATACACACTATGGGTGACACAGTGTCACCTAGTCAGTTTGTCTAATTTACTAAGAGGTATTTGTTAGGAAGTAACAATAATACAAGTGTTACCCAGTTTGAATGTTCAACATCCACAGTCTTTGGTAATACAGTCTTTATCTTAGATAAATGAATTTGCCACTATTGTGTTACGCTTGTCTGTATAATTATTTACCCCCAAAACATCACTATTTCCAAAATAAACTAACGCAACTACTGCACATTCTGTCCTCTGGAAGCAACAACTCCACATAACATGTATTTAAATAGTAATATTATTATTAAAGTCACTGTCTAAAAAAGGAGGAGGGAATTTATTAAGGTTGTACACAACGGCATACTGTGTTACACAGAGACAGGAGCTTAATATAAGAAAGAATGTCTGAAGCTTAATCGAGGTCAAAGACATTGTGAATGCTTGTCATGTCATGTGCTTGATTTATCTACATAATGGATGAAAGAATATTGTCAGTAAGTTTAAAGGCATTGTATACATTTCTGCTATTTTCCCTCATAAAAATTCAGTAACTGTATATCATAGGAGCTACACAAGATGTTCATAAAGTCTTCATAACAAAATGAATAATATGGATAACTAGTTGATTTTATGTACTGCTTATGAAGACACACCTACTGATGTACTGTATGAATATCTTATGGAGTTCTTATGTAGTGTACAGAGTATTATCTTACAGTTCATTCATATGATACCATGTCGCATTCTGTGGTTGCTGAATTTCTTGCACTCAGAATTTTTCTTTCACCCATAGTTTTGATTACGTCATTTTTAGGATACATTGATAGTATGTAATTCTTTACTTTGAATGCATGGGTTTATTAAAGTTTAATTTAGGGACAATGATTTTCTGAACATTTTTAAGATTTTACAGAACGATGCAAAGTACTATAAGTCTATTTTTTGAACATATTGAGACAGGATCTTGCTCTCTCTTTCTCGTATGTAAAAGTGATATCAAGGCAAGTGGAATCCCAGTATGCTTGCTGACGTCTGCTGGACACTAAAGAGGGACCCTAAGAGAGATATTCCTGAGGTGAAGTACGTCTATCTTTTTAATCACTTCCACCATGCACATATATGTAAAGCCTAAAGTTTGATTTGTGTAACTCAAAATCATTGCGATAGAGAAATGCTGGTTATATATTTCAGTTCAGCCCTATGTTGATTTACGTATAAAAAAGCTATTTTTTGTTGATCAACGTTATTCTTTATTTGCCATAAAACTTGATACACAGCTGTGTTTTAAACAAACGTTGTCCTGTCTCAGAGTATATATACAGTATACTATATACTGTATATGCGTATGTTTCCGTTTTAATCGCAGTATGCTAGCGGCCTCGTGAGGAACATTGTATGTACTGCAACCTAAACATTGCACTCGATGTCAGATCAGTTCATAGTCCTTCATCGCAATTCCGGTATATTTCATCCCTTATGGCAACAATAAGTACAACCCTCTATAATACTCATTTAAAGCGTCATATGAAGACTATTTGGCGTATACAGTCGAACATAATCTTCGCTGTTTTTTTTTTTCACCGATCGAAGGATTTATTAAAATAAATATATTTCGAATAATCTGCGAGAATGAATGAAGCTGATCTATTCTTTGAAATACCACAGAATATACCGTACTTAAATTTTTCGGCATAGTACGAATAATACATATTCGTGTAGCAGTTTTATTTAGAACGTATAGAAGAAATTAATTAAATTAATAGTGTCGTGTCTCGGTTTAGGTTTCCTTGCAGTGCAGAAATAGTGGGTTTATGCGTGTCCCGACGTCATTGCAAGCAAAGTTTGGTAATCATCTAATTTAGCTTCAAGAACCGTTTCCTTTGCTCACACGACATAACTGCATAAAAGGAATAACATTTTGTTAGGAAAGTTATAACATTTGGATATGTGCAAAACCTATAATTGGGCTTTACGTTAAAATACCGCAGTGGTATTTTTTCAGTAAACATTTCGGCTGTATGGATAAATAAAGCTTTATCCTTTGTCACCGCACTACACCACCACATTCATTGCACATTCTCGAAACCCTCAGAAGAGTTTAATAAAATTCCTCGCCTAAATTGTATCCACTTGCTTAAAATAGACCACATACAACTGGACTACAATTCCCATGATTCGTTTGCAGGGGGGGACACCGACTGAGATGATCGTGATTATTTTTTATTTTCGTATCAACTACATCACTAGCAGGGCACTGCGGCGGGGAGCTGGTGGCCATGGGATAAAAATGCTTAGAATGGAGTGGTTTAGTTTCCCATTTCCTGTTATGCATTTCCTGATGTAGGACCGAGAAGCTCGCCGTTTATTTTAAATAACTAAACGTTCATCTTTACGGAGCGGGCGGCGAACTCTCCGTTTTATTTTTTTTCTCGCACAGTATTAATACGCGAGTTGGGTTAATATATTTGACGGAACACTAGGGGAATTATTCAGAAGACTTAGAAACGGATAACTTAAAACGCTACATTGAAACGGGAGTCTGGCTAAAGTCTAATTTGCTCGATGGATACAGCTCTGTTTAGAAAACGACTAGCTAGTTAGCTTGACTGGCTAACTGGCATCTAACGGTCGGCCGTTGTTGCTTGGCAGCCGTCTCGCGAGGGCGTAGCGGCGCCGGCTCCGCGTCCTCTGCTAGATCTGTGAGAGTAGCTCCGCTAACTGGCTAACGGCAGCTATCTTCACCCCCTCCTTCGTTTCGTGAGGCGCCGCCGATGGAGGCGTTTGACTTAAACGTTTAATTTGCTAGTCTGCTGAAGGCTAAAGGTAAACGCATCCCCGCACAGGTAGCCAATGCTGTTCTGACAGCCGTGGTTTCGAATAGCTGACTGGACTGTAATTTGGTGAATGCGGTAACCTCCGGCAGTTAAACGTGTAGCATTATACCCTGAATCACGGATTTGCATCTTTAAATTCGGTTCCTGGCTAACAGATAGGTGGTCACGGTACTGCACGACATAGCGGTAACCGGTTAGCCGCGGGAGTCTTTATTTTGAACACTAGCCGGCCAGTGTAACCTTGAACGCTTCACTTTGACGAATAGCTGTATTTGGGTGTATGGGACCAAGTTTGCAGGCTAGCCAGTTAGCTGTTTGATTATTGGGACGGGTAGCGGATAGTCTGGAATTACACTTCATATTTATCGGGATCATTTCATTGTGACAGCACTATAGCATGCTAGATAGTTAGCCGACCGTCTACGTAACCAGATCATTGCTGGAGTTTGGGCACTTGGAGCAGTTCAGTTAGGCTAAAGCTGAGGGCCAGACCAGCTCCCTGGAATTAATCTCTATTTCCTTGTTAATCGAAGATTTGCCACACACCGCCATCACCTCCATCGGGTCGGAACAATGAAGAAGTTCTTCGATTCTCGCCGGGAGCTGGTGAGCTCTGGACCTGGCTCAGGGGGTGGCGGCGGAGGCGGAGGATCCAGCGGCGCCGGCGCCAGCTTCATCGGACGCGCGTTCACGATCGGCCGCTATCAAGTCACCGTGGATGAAACGCTGGCCGAAGGTGAGTCACCAAGAATGCTGTGTTTTTTTTCCCTCTGGAAGCCGTATTTTAAAGCATGTGTGATCGAATAACATTAACTGAAGCGTATGTCTTTTCCAACGATTCAAATGGTAATAAATATCAAAGGTCAAATTGAACTCCAGAAAAATGTCTATATTTAATCTAATTCAATCGTTACTAAGGAGCAAATGACACTGAATTATACAATGCGTTAGATTTCTATGCCTCCAAAGTGATCATTGCTTATCCTGGCTCTCCTGACTGGTCAACCGTCTAGAATGTTTCCTGTCTTGGCAACCATTTATGTCTTTCATTGATTGCTACAGATAAAGCAATCTTAACTGTTTTGAGGCCAAAACCTGTCCTGATCTAGTGTCAGTGGCTAAAGACATAGAATATATACAATACATTATAAAATAATGGATTAATCCGCAAAACTGGTAAAAGATAGGGTTGAAATCCTAGGGCCCACATTCCCAATTCCGTAAAGCATACCATGGTGGTATTATGTCTGCCCACATCTGTACAGCTGTTTGTTCTGTAACTGGCCCTGGTTTGCAGATGTGCACATGCACACTCCCTGCCTGTGAGCTTTTGTGACTCAAATTTCAAATTCGGTGGGGTGTGGCTCTGAAGCACCCCTGTTTCTTATCTGGGACTTTGATGGGTGCACCAGGACTCCTGCCAGCATCCACCCTGCTTCCTGGGGGACTGGGTGTGTGTCTGAACTCTAATACCTCCCCCACCACTGCTGCTGCAGAGTAGGGCTAAGGGGTAGACATCTTGGAGCTCTAAATGTGGCAGTGTCTGTGAATCATAGGCTGAAGTCAGATTGAAGTTATCTGATCAGTCCACCATGTTAGAAAAGGCAGAAGGTCTGAGTTTTGTGTACAAGTACAGGCGACTTGTCAAAGCCATTTTATTTTTTTTAAGATTATAGCCAGATATTCAATTAAACCTGTAAGGCTCCCTGCCTAAGTACAGAAGAATACAAATTTTTATACTTGGACTTGTCTAACTTCCCCCACGTCTTGTTAAATGTCAGAATCTTTACCTTGTTCTTGTGACCTGCCTCTTGCTTATTTTGGTTGTCGTGATGGTCTGGTGCCTATGTGCACTGCAAGTGTACTGTGTTTTTCTACAATGTTTTGTATAGTACTACTCGGTTTAAAAATAAAAGAATGGTATTGATTATTATGCAGTTTTTTGTCTACATGGTATTATGGGGTGTTTTTTGGTGACTTATTAGCTTGGCTGTTATTATGGTCTAGGAGCATAATTGCTTGACACTTTTTATTTTGATGGTCATCAGAAAGGAAGATTTCTACAGGCAAGACGAAGTGGGATTGCTTCAGATGCAGTTTGCTGACCGGACACAAGTGTTCTGATTGATGTTGCTATGGTGATAGTCTAGTCTTGGCTGCTGTGCAGGAGCTCAACAACTAGCTGGAAGGTGTTTTGCTTTTATTGAAGTTTGCGTGAGCAGGGGTCTCTTCCATTGAGTCAGTTATGTTTTTCTCTGGATGATACACCCAAGACCCACCCCCTGAAACTGTCTGGCTCTTCTGCATACTTCTGTGTGGATGAGACAAATCACAGTTATCTAATATGGCTTGTATTTAAGAAAAAAAGGAATTGTGGGTCATGTAGCGCAATTGCTTGGCAAGTAAGACAGTCTTTTCCTGCTTCCAGAGTTTCGGTTTCAAATCCCCAGCTCTGTGTTGGTTATCTGCAAGTTTTCATCATACTATTGTCAGTTTCTGTCACCTAGAGAAATGCTGTATGGGGCATCTTTTTCTACCAGATTATCACATACCTGAAAATTTGGTGGATGCATGAATATACAATAGGAGTAAGGTAAAAGAAACATGTGACGTGTTAGTGATGGGGAAACAATGGTTATGTGAATCCTTTGGTTATTAGCAAGGTTTGACAAATATATCAGCTGGCTGATAAAATCAACTGATGTTAAGCTTCCATGAATATGTTTGTCATCACGAAAAACCCTGTAATAAAGAGACGTTATTAGCAATAAACATTTATGATGCGGTAAGCAGCCCTCTCATTTAGAAAAACTGAGAAACTATGCTTCCTGCATTCTAAATTATTATGCGGTGTGACGAATAAGTTTAACAGTTCAGTTTAGGGTTGAACTAGAATACAATATACCAGGGGTGCCCAACTCCAGTCCTGGAGGGCCGGAGCCCTGTGTAGCTTAGTTCTTTCCCTGTTCCACCATAAATGATTCAGCTCAAGAGCTGTGTGGTAATTAGCACAAGGAGTTGAATCAGGTGTGTTAAATGAGGGGAAACCGAAAAATGTGCAGGGCTCTGGCCTCCAGGACTGGAGTTGGGCACCCCTGCAGTTTACAGTGTTCGCAGAAAGTCTTGGGATGCTTGCTTAATTGATTTGTTTTTATAACAAAAATGATTACTTTGTTTACCAAAAAAAACAACCCGTAGTTTTAAGTAAAACGTTAATTTGAAGTAGTAATAAATTGAAACCCAAATTTATAATTCTAAAAGAGCTGTTCAGAATTAAAAAGTTCAATGACAAGCAGTTTCTTCGGAGGTGTTTTAATTAGTAACACCTTTGCAATAACATAATACACCAAACATTTGTCTTTAGTATCCCTTTCGAAACCAATGATTGCTACTGCAGTTAATAGAAAAATTGCAAGAACAGAACTGAACGAGTCATTCAAAAAATTATGACTCTTAAAAATAAAACGTCTGCATAAGATATGGGCAGGTATGATAAACATTGCTTGTCAGTAGACTTTTGTTATGAAACCAATGAATTTGTAACATTTTTGCTGAATTAAGCAATCATCCCAAGATGTTCTGTGACCACTGTGTGTGTAGTTGCTGTAAGTTTTATTTATAGTGGTTATTCATACTCTGCATGAGATGGACAAGCACCTCCAGACATGGAATATAGCTAAAATAACACCACATTTAATTAATTAACTTAGCAAAAAACTGAAAAAGTAAAACACAAAAGACATCAACACCCTACCAATGGAAGGAGAGATGAGTCAATACAATGAACAATGTAAAATAAATATATAATACTGAAACAACCAAAATCAAGGCAGGCCTAGTCCATGATCATACACATGATCATATGTGATATAAGAGTTGTTAGTGATTGAATGGGAATGGAAATATTATGTTATACCACACTACTGGACTGGAAATGATTTGTGTGTGAACACAGTTCATTTGTAAGATGCTTCTACTTAGTAGAAGAGGCAATGAACGTTTTGATTCAACAAGGTGGCTTAAATGAATTTGTGCTGATGCTTTGCTTTCATTATTTAACTGAAAGTATCTGTGTCTTTAGTTTTTGACCATATTGACTTATATTCATCAGTGTTGTAGGTAGTATTCAGAATGTATTCATTGTCCTGTTGCATATGGGGACAGTTCTGTTTTTGTTTTTTTTTTTTGGCCAAGAGACAACATTAACATGTTAATTAAATAAATGAACAATACAAATATAGGTTTACCAGGCATTTTGTGTGTGCTTTTAAAAAGTTTTGCATGTTTCTTTAATACTTTCAATTAGTTATCTGAAGTCACTTATAGTTAGTGTTACCACTTGTCATACTGTAGTTCATCCTTCCTCTGCTTCCTCAGCTAAACACAGCTCTCTCATTCATTCAGTGCATTGATTATTCTGGGGGGGGTGAAGGATTTTTAAATGGAGAAAGACTTCATTCATGTCTTTCCAAAGCTGGCCAACTTGAGTGTTTTTGAAAAGTAACAAGTAGGTTTTGATTTGCTGTTCTGTGGCCTTCACCAGCATCTTCCTGAGCTGTCGGTAACCAAGGCTGAATAGACCATCTGTTGTTGCGCACAGAGTGTTTGGATTATATGCTGGCATCTTTACATTATGTTGTTTATTTTCTTAGTCACTTCCATTGCTTACAGTTGTACTTTTAATTTACCGTTAGTTTCCCCTGTTATGATTTTGCTTAAGTATAGTCAGTTATTTTGACATTTTATAGGGACTTGAACCCATGACCTGTTGAGGTGGCACTGGCAGTTGATTAAATACTGCACTTGCCATGCTCATGTTCGCCATCCCTTTTCAGAACTACCTGGTGTTGCTGCTCATTTGATGACCTCAGTTGTCATAATATTGATACTTTAAACCAGGGGTGTCAAACTCATTTTAGGGTGAGGGCCGGATGAGAAGAAAATGTGACCATGTGCGGGCCGAATTTATTATTATTTTTTTTTAATCATAGTGCATCAAATTACAACAAATGCACTATATTCTGTAAAACTGCATTTAACAAGTCCTCAGAAACTGTTCATTAACACTCTTATTCCTTTTTAATACTACTACTACTAATAATAATGATGATAATAAAAAAGATTTGATATTTAATACTATTGTTCAAATCATCCCGCGGGCCGTATTGGACACCATAGTGGGCCGTATTCGGCCCGCGGGCCGTATGTTTGACACCCCTGCTTTAAACCATAGAGTTTCTTTTTGTATGGTAGATGCAGCTCTAAAGGCATGCTGAGAGTGTTTTAAGGCTTTTGTAATTGGGCAGAATGCAAAGGGATGCTCCTTGATTCATGGCTAAGAAGTTATAGCACAAACCAGGAAACGGCAGCAATGCCTGTCTACTGTTTAGATGTCATAAGGCTGATTATTACACGTGCATGTTTCAGCAGCTGATAGTGAGAGGGTGGATCTGAACTCTCTTGACTTTGCTTGAACAGGGTCATTTAGCTCTCACATGATGCTGCACAAGACTGCAGTAGGATGGAGGCATCTAGATTTGAGCAGGCTGGGCCATTATGACTTCTTTAGGATAAGTGCGTGAGAGAGAGAGGGAGAAGAAGAGACATGCTGGGAAATTGATGTTATGTACGTCAGTCTTCCTTCTAGTTGCCTGGGAGATGACCTGGGGCTTGGCTGATCTCAATGTAGTTTTGTTTAAGCACCAGGAGGGGGTAATGTGGGGGTGAGGCGCGTCACAGCCAGCTGTAGGCAGATTATAGGAACATCACCCTGTCTGATTGTCTGCACAACAGTATCTCAACACAGGGAACACATTCTGTACTGTACGCTGTTTAAGATCAAACAGAGAAATTGCACCAAAAACGGAAGATGACTGTCTGTTTTGCAGCCAGGTTATGCTTGTTTTTAAATCTCCAAGACGCATTATGACATCTGGAGGTGGTGTTTGCTCTATGGATGTTTAACTTCCAGATGAAGTATTCCCTACTTGGTGAGGTTATTACCATGGTTTTTATAAGGGGCACAGACTTAAAAGGTATTAAACCTGTATTGTTCCAGTAAAATATGTTGTATAGATGGATAAAACTGTAACTTTGGTTAAGTGTATCATTTAAAATTCTTGTGATGATGATGGTTATGATAATGAATGAATTGGTGATGGAGGATTGAGTGGTGTTGTCTGGTGACAGGGGGTTTCGCCATCGTGTTCCTGGTGCGCACTCACCAGGGTGTTCGCTGTGCCCTCAAGAGGATGTACGTCAACAATGAGCATGACCTGCGTGTGTGTCAGCGTGAAATCCAGATCATGGTGAGTTGGTTGGTTTGGAAAGTGCACTCCTGGTAATGACAGAGTCAGTGTCTTGCATACATAGACATACAGAGTGCGCGTACTGTCTATCACCAAAGCACAGTAAGCATTTGCTTCCCACCTGACCCGCAGAGCTTAAAAAGCTAATATCTGTGTGCATCTTTATGTACCTCTGTTTGCATGCATTTGTTGCATCTTCACTTCTTGTACTGATGTGCAGCGGGACCTGGCTGGTCACAAGAACATCGTGGGCTTCCTGGACTCCTGCATCACAGCAGTGGGAGCCGGAGATGTATGGGAGGTCCTCATCCTCATGGACTTCTGTCGTGGTGAGTATGTGTGTCCTTTCATGTGCATGTTTGCCGGGGTCAGTGTCAAACTCCTCTTCAGTGAAATGTCTTTTTTAAGCGTATTTTTTTCCAACATTTTCATCTCTTTTAATTCTCTTTCTTCCAAACCATTCTCTTTGCCTCTTCTCGCCCTAAGTGGAATGGAAAGTAAAGGCTGTTTGTGTTCTCTATCCAGATGGATGTAGCTCAGTAAATAATGCATTCAAAACTCTGTTGCCCACCCTGTACACTTATCCTGAATAATGCATCAGTAACACTGAAGCTGGTCTGCATGTGTTCTCCATCATAAGGCATGTGGGTGCCCATTGGGCTGCTGAGGTCATTGGACCCCACCCACTCAGATTGTGGTTGCTCATTGGTTAGATTGTCCCTGTGTGCTTGTGAACATGTGCTTTTATTGGTTCATTTGTGCTGTGGATTTCCATGGTTTGACCAGCTGTTGTGTGCATGTGTACCGCAGGGGGCCAGGTAGTAAACTTGATGAACCAGCGGCTTCAGACAGGCTTCACGGAAGCCGAAGTGCTGCAGATCTTCTGTGACACGTGCGAGGCTGTGGCCCAGCTGCACCACTGCAAGACACCCATCATCCACCGAGATCTCAAGGTGTGGCCTGTTTTTCTGTCCAAACACATACTTTCTCCCACGTGCAACTTTTCCACCCTATTCCATCTCTGACCTCTGGGTGACCTAGTGCTGTCAGAGTGAGGCTCTGATCACCCAGTGACAGAGCATAAAACCCATACTGTCAGTGTCAAGTGTGTCTCTGGTGATCCCAGCTTACCCCACCTCTTGCGGTTGCTGCAGGTAGAGAACATCCTACTCCATGACATGGGACACTATGTGCTGTGTGACTTTGGCAGTGCCACCGACAGGTTCCAGAACCCTCAGAGTGAGGGCGTGACCTCAGTTGAGGAAGAAATCAAGAAGTGAGTTTGTCTTGTGTAATTTTGTCATAATTCAAAATAGGTAAATCTTTGTGATGAAAAAGGCACTCATGTAACCTGTTGTTTTAGTACACATCCTAACTGTGTGATGAAAGTTTGACCTTGTCTACTGAAGTTCTGTACATGTCACAGCAAATGTCACAAAGAATAATATTTTGGTCCTGACTATGAACCTTTTCTGGTTTTAACATTACATGTGTTTATGATTCACCTGGAAAGCTCAAAGCATATCAGGATTGTGCTCTCTCTTCTTGCCCCACCTCCTCCCCAGGTACACGACTCTATCTTACCGTGCCCCTGAAATGGTTAACCTCTACAGTGGCAAAGTCATCACAACCAAGGCAGATATTTGGGTAAGCGTGGGTCAGGCTGCACTTTCATCCGGAAACAGTGGTTTGTGGGCTGTTTATGAAAACAGTAACACATTGTTTTTTTTTTAGTGTCTGTGTCTTAAGTTGTAGATGACAGAGCTTTGTAATAATCTGGAAATGTCTTGTAGGCTATGGGCTGCCTCCTGTACAAGCTGTGCTTCTTCACCCTGCCCTTCGGAGAGAGCCAGGTGGCCATCTCAGACGGCAGCTTCACCATCCCAGACAACTCCCGCTACTCACAGGACCTGCACTGCCTCATCCGTGAGCATGCTGTCGTCTTCCTACACGTCTGTCATCTCTCTGTGCGAAAATAGCTCTTGCATATCGGAGAAGCTGTAATTTGTTGTCGTTAATAGTATGTTGCTTAGGTGATGAGTTAATTTAGCTTTTTACTTTGTTTTATTTAAGTGTTGGGTACCAGGTTTTCTAGTGGGTCTTGAAACAGCTGTCAGGTTGTTAGTCAGTCCTTAAACACCATGCTACCCTCTGACTGGTGCACCAGCCACTTCCTTGTCATCCGTCTTTCTTTTCATTATAAATGCTGTGTCTCATGGTAATATCACATTTAGGGTACATGTTGGAGCCAGATCCGGAGATGAGGCCGGATGTTTATCAGGTATCCTACTTTGCTTTCCGCCTGGCCCAGAGGGAATGTCCTGTCCAGAACATCCAGGTATGTGTCAATCCAGCTCTGTGGTGCAGTTTCATTCTCCCTCCTGGGGTTTGAAACTGTAAATTATTATTATTATTTTATTACACATTAGGCAGTAGCAGCATTGTGTGGCAGAATTACTACTGACCTGGTGAGCGTTCATTGCAGCGGTAATGCTAAATTTTTGCACTATGTGCATGTTCATCTGTGCTTTATGTTCTGAGTACTCTGTACACCCTAGGGTGAATAAATTAATCTTAATTTTAAATCCATGAACTGTTTAGCTTCCAGAGTAGAGTGAGTGAGCATGTCTGTGTTTTAGTTTTTTCTTTTTCAGAATTTCAGAGAGCTAGCAGTTCAGTAGTGCGTGTATGAGAGGACCTGACAGTACTGTGTTTGGGGAGAGATGGGTAGCAGTAAGTCTCACATTCCCCATTTACCACCCCAGAATTCTCCTATTCCGGTGAAACTTCCAGAGCCTATCAGAGCCAGTGAGGCCTCATCCAAGAAGAGCCAGAGCAAGGCCAGGTGCCTGTCTGCCTGCATGGCCAGATGCTGTTCTGTGGGGCTGTGGCTTGTGTCTGTGTGAATGTATGTATGTGTGTCTGCATACCTGTGTGTGTCTCAAACTTCAGCACATACCTTTGGGGTTCATGACTGCTTTGGCCCTGTGCTACAGACTGACAGATCCCATTCCCACCACTGAGACCTCAATCACCCCCCGGCAGCGCCCCAAAGCTGGTCAACCCCAACCTGGCACAGGAATCCTGCCCATTCAGGCTGCCCTAACACCCCGCAAAAGGCCTACTGCCACACCTGGACCGATTGGTAGGTAACTGATCTCTGAATTGTGTTGTTTATGGTAATCTCAAACCCTTTGGTAATTACATTAGTATTTTTATCTCTGAGCTATGAATTTTGCAAAAGCCGTTTAGCAATGAATCTAAAAATAAAAAAAAGGATGTAATGTTTTGCTTTCTACAGGTGTGAGTTTAAGCCCCGCCCAATCTGCAACTAATGTCCAATCGCAAAAGGTGCAAATCCAGATCACACCAACTCAACCCAAGGCCACACCCACCACCCCCAGAGCTGCTCCACAGCCCCAGGCGGCAGCTTTCTTCACCCCTTCTCAGCCCGTTCAACAGGTATGCCAGTTATGCTGGTCATTGCAGTGGGTTCAATAACAGGACTGTATAGCAGCTGACTGGACTGTAAGTGAACGAGTTAAGTCTAGATTTGGTATTATTTTAGCAGGTGTTTGGTTGGACAATTCCTCTCCAAACCTGTAGAAGGCACTGATTTTTGAAAAATGAACAAAGCCTATACAACATCCTCTAGTGGAGCTGGAAAATGTCATGGCAGAATTGGGTAAACTACTCAGTCTCGCATTGTTTGTCCATATTGTGATGTTCAAACAGCCAAAGGCTTTTTCCCCATTCAAAGCTGACCTGGTTTTGTAATGGCCTTAAGACTGAATGTCAAAATGACAAGCATAATTAGTTCTTGCTGTGGCTCAAGTTCCTCGTATTCTATTTGTGTTCCTGTTTAATTGGCAAAGGAAATCAAAGGCAAAAGGTTATGTGGATATCGAAGGAACAATCAGGAAATCATCAGGTCAAAGACATGGAAACAGAAGGGTATCTACAGTAACACAGCTTTCAGTTGAGCCATTTATACTGATTAGAAATTATGTGGTATGATTATTCTTTTTATTTCACAGGGTTACAGAATGGGTAACAATAGCCAGATTGAGATCATTGCTTCTTGGGTTGTACCTCTTTCAAAATGGCACAGCTGATGAGTTAGTTTTAGTGTATTGGCCAAATGTATAATATGGCTACATGTTTTTGGGCCAAGTCCAATCTCTCATTTTCGGTTTTCTTAAAGAAATTTTGTTAGTGACATCCATATTTGGCCCTGTCCTTGGTGCATATGGCATTGTACAGCAAGAGTGTCTTCCTGGGACAAGGGCACCTGACCTTTTGGCCCAGTTCCTCATCCGCTATGGCCCCTGTTGCCCATCGTAGTTGATTGCGCTCTTTTCACACAAACACATATGCAGCAGCCGCAGCAGCCTCAGCCCATCCAGGGAGCTGCGCAAACACGAGTGGAACCTCAACAGACGGTCAGCGCAGCCACAGCTGCTCCACAGAAACAGCCACAGCCCAGCCAGGCTCCGCCTAAAGCCCCACCCCGAGGCTCCCGTCAGAAGCAGGCGGCCCCTGCCACCCAGCCCACTGTGGCCCCAGCGGCCCCTCCACCTGCACCTGCACCAGCACCAGCACCTGTTCCAGCACCTGTTCCAGCACCTGCTTCGCCACCTGTGTCAGATCCCACATCTGAACCTGTGTCTGCGCCAGAGCAGATGGTAAAGCCTTGTGGGTGTGGTCCCCACCCCCGATCTGGGGAGAAGTGGGGCCTAACTCTTTGATGTTTTGCTGAGTTGGGGCCACTCACTTGGTCATGGCTGACAAACCCTGTTCGCTTAGCAAGTTTTTCCCTGAAAGCAACATGCTCAAAATTAGTTGTGTAAATGGCTGATCCAGGGATTTATCTAGCAGTTTAAAGGGGGATTTGAATGAAATTTGATTAGGTTGTAGACTGCCGTTCCTGCTAAGTCGAGCAGGAACATGTACCTGGTAAATGTTGTGTCAAGCAATTTCATCCAGTACCAGATCAGCATTCTGACATCATCTAAACTTCATGTCACCTTTTCACTGTGCAAAGACGTGTAAGAAACTGAGTTTTAGGTACTGAAAGGTTAGGATGATCTCATTTTCCAGTATAATTACTTAAAAATAGGAATGATCAGATTTCACATAATTTTCTAAACTAGTTTTTTGTGTTTTTTTCTTCCCCCTCTTCACTTTACTTTGGATGGCTAGAATATTGTCTGACCAGTCTGAGCCCAGCATAATTTTTCAGAGAATTCCCCTTTAAAATGATGCAGGTTAGCTACCTCAGATTGGATTTTGGTGTGTAGGATCAGTCTTCCTGAGATGGCATTCAGTATTTAAAATCACTGAAATGAAAGGAAAATGGGTCTTGATGCTCTTCCCGCATTTCCAATTGATGTCAGGATGGAGGAGTCAGCTGTAACAAGAGTGGGGTTCCACCTTGTGTCATGGGTCTTTGAAGTGATACCTTGGACTTTTCTACCTGGAGTAAAAGCACTGTCCTCAGTGAAGGGCCAGCATGTAATAAATATGTCTTGGCTTCATTGGCTACATGGTCTCATTAGTGATTTTTTTTGTCGGCTGCAAATTTGACTCCTAACTTAGGGAGGTATAATTCCAGAAAGTAAGGCTAATTTCAAGTAACCAGTGGCCCGTGAAGACTGGATACGGCTGAACCTTTAAATTGCACAATTGAATTTTTGCTTGTTGGACATTTTAATTGATATTTTAAATTAGTATAATTTCAGATATAGGGTCTTTAAGTGTACAGCACTGCCTGTAAACTTGGCTGTAGAATTCTAGATGTCATTGTCTGCAACTTTAGTTTAAATAACAAAGTTGAATTGCCGTGGGGTTGTGTGGAGTCCATGGTGTCTTTCAAAGCTCGTTCATCAACATTGATCACTTCTCCACTGATGTTGGGGAGGGTATCACGCCATCGTACAGTCCAAGATCATGCTGCTTGTCATCGTGGCCCAGTCTGCCACCTGCATCCTCTGTCGTTATCCTGTGGATTAGTGGTCATTTGTTGGTCAAATTACTGTTGGTTCCCATTGGTTCTAATTGTTCATTAATTTTTAATTGTGTATCCTACAGCACTTAGAAATGTGATTTATAATTTTTTTTACTGTTTTCAGTAATTGTATTAGTTTGCTTATTCCCATATTGTCATTACTCATAACATTTGCTCTTGCTATTTCCTGTTTATTTTCTTTTGAAATTTTACTCGTGGCTTCAGTTTCTTATTTATTACTTCGTTCCCTTGTTCTCTTAATCTCTTGTTCCCTTGCTCTGTGATTCACTCGTTCCCTCACTCAGTATCCATGCACTCTTTCCCTCATGGTTCCTACCTGGTTCCTCATCTCTTTCACGACACCTCCTCCCTCTTTTTACGGCAGGCTAACCCCAAGCCGGGCTCACTGACCCCGCCGTCGTCCCCCAAGCCCGCGTTGCGTGGCGGCCATCGGCGCATCCTGAGCGATGTCACGCACAGTGCCGCTTTCGGGGTGCCCATCAGCCAGTCCACCCAGCTGCTGCAGGCGGCTGCAGCGGAAGCCAGTCTCAGCAAGTCCAAGTAAGGGGGGGTGGGGGGTGGGTGTTACAGCTTCAGCTTTACAGTATTAGTACAAGATAGCAGCTAAAACTCAATGCTAGTACAGCCTCTCCCCAGGTTGCCAGGGGGTTATGTTCCTAAAAATGTATAGTAAGGCAAAAATACATTTTAATACAGTACGCCTAACCTAACAAACATCATAGCCTAGCCAACCTTAAACATGCTTGGAACACTTACATTAGCCTACAGTTGGTCAAAATCATTAACACAAAGACTGTTTTATAATAAAATGTTTTATAATAAAATATATCATGTAATTTATTGAATAATGTAGTGTAAGTGCAAAACTTTACCCATTGTCAATATATCATGTCAGACCATGGTAACCCGGGGAGCGTCTGTATATTACTTCTCTTTATATGTTTGCTGTGTGTCTGCTTGGACAGCATTACCCATATGGGTTTGGTGTCATTGCCTCAGGTCAGCAAGCACCACACCTTCCAGCTCCCCACATTCCTCCCAGCAGAGCGTGTATCAGCCCACGGAGCCCAGCGCCCCGCCCACTACCCCTGCTTCCGCTCCCACTCCCGCCACCGACAGCCCCCCAGGGGCCCCCGCCCTCCGTTACCCGAGTCCGCCACCGACAGCCCCCCAGAGCCGTCCACCTGGAACCCCTTTGGCGACGACAACTTCTCCAAACTCACTGCTGAGGAGTTGCTGAACAAGGACTTTGCTAAGCTGTCGGATGGTGAGGAAGCCGCCCTGGGCGGAACGTGATGGTGCACATGGACTATGAAGCTGTAATGATGGAGCCAGTATCATAGTTTAGATCGGGGATTCTCAAGTAGAGAAGGAAATGTTAAATTTAAGTCTTTCTCCTGGTCTCTGTGTCTGCACTAATCAGGTAAACCAACTGAGGGATCCAGTGTCTCCACAGAGAACCTGACCCCAGCTCTGCAGCCTGCTGCATCGGCTCTGCTGTCCTGCTCCCCTCTGACCACAGGTAGGCCCTACGGTCAGGGAGTCCTTCATGCAGCCCTGCCCTGATCGCCGCCTTCAGTTCATCGCCGCTCTTTTCTTCTTGCAGGCTCCATTTAGATACGCTGGGTTTTCTTCACTGTCTGTTGTCTGAACTGTTTTCATTAAAATTCCCACAGTATGCGATAGTCTGCCTAAGGTCCAGGCTTACTGAGACGATGGATGGATGGATCATTACTTTTATTCCCCTTATCTCCTGCCTGCATTTTGATGCAGTTTTCCTCTGCCTCTTGAATGCTGGCTGATGAACATCTCTCTCTCTCTTTAGTATCTCCTTTTCTATCTTTTTTCGCACCATCAGTGCAGACTCAGTGTGGTGGGCCGGATATTAAAGCTCCCTGTACTGCAGCTCTCGTCTGCTTTCAGTGTCACTCACTGCGCTGTGTCCCTCTCCTCCTCTCTGTCCCCCAGCTGAGCGGCCGGTGGACTCTGTGAGCGCGAATGTGGATCAGAGTGCAGGATTGCTGAATTTGCCGGGAATGTTTGCTCCACTCGCATTGAACGATGTCTCAGGTAAATTCCTGTTGTGTCATCCTTAGTTGCACACAGAACACACAAACTTGCACGTTCTTCACTTTTCCTAATTTCGAGTCACGTGCGGCATTTGTGTGAGACATTCTAAATACCCTTTTTTCTGGTTGGGTTACTGGACTTGGTTCAAGGTTTTGTTGGTAACTGGCTGGAAACATTGTGTTGCCGTTAACGTTTCCTTAGAAGAGACACTGTTAATTCTGTGGTTTCTGAGTGTGGTTTTAGTCTCCCTTTTACAGCGATTTGCATTCATTTCAAAAGAAGACCTAGTTTAAACCTTACTGAGCTGAACCAAATCTTTCTGGATTCAGCATTTACAGAAAACACAGAGCTGAGCACAATGTTTGGGATTCAGAGCCTGTTTTTCCCAAAGGGAATTTCCTCATTGTCATTCTGTCTCTTTCTTTCTCTTTCTCTTCTGGTTTGCCCTCCATCACAAACAGGGCTACCTTGCCTTTAATCCTCTAATGGCCATTTGGCTTTCTTTGGGTATTTTCTTCTTCCGCTTTTTTTTGGTTTTTCTTGAAACCTTTTCCAGTCAGGAGCTGAGCACTGTCCTCACAGTGAGCATTCCATTTCTTCAATTTCTTCATTGTGTGGTGTTGGCTAAGGGCCACTAGGGGGCAGTGCAGTTGTCAGTGAGCACTATTCTATGGGAACTGCTGTCAGCAGTCACCTGTGACCTCTCTTCCCCCAGTCAGTTGGGCAAGGGAACATGTGTGCAGTGTTCTGGAACCCCAGCCCCCTCCCCATGTCCATGTGATCCAGTCAGCTTCCAGGACTGTAAGTATGTAGGGGAGTTTGAGGGAAGGATTCTCACACGCATGCTATTGGCCAGCAGCCTGGTGGTTTTTAGGGCACTGACATGGTCTCTTGGAGACGCTGAACCGTGTCAGCCTTCCTCCTACGGCTTTGCGTCATCGCAGGCATAGCATGGTGTGTGTCATTCTCCCATGAGGTGTGTGTCTGCAGTGAATTGTTTCCAGCAGACATGAGCAGTGATTAGCAGAGTGTGTCTGAGTTTTTCTGAGGTTGCTGTAACTCTAAAACCAATTAACCAGAGCATTTCATATGGGTCCCTGGTCATTGAACGCTTTAATTTAGTGGTTTATTGAGTGTGCTGATGGTCAACTAACCTGCACAAACACCTGTATCTGCCTCAACATTACACTGGTCCAGAAGCAGGGAGCACTCTGGGAAGATGGGTGTATCACTCGGCAAACTCTACATTGGGGTTATCCTGGGTTGCCATTTCGGTGCTTGCGTGGTCTTTTTCTCTCAAGCATGAGTCATTCGGTGGGTTATCTTTTCAAGTCAGTGTGGTTTAACTTCTGATATATGGTGAAGGGAATTGTGGGTATACGTTGCCCATCTTGCTAATGGTTGTGGCTCATCCATGGAGCTTGCCATTCACTCATCTTGGGTTAAATCACGTGTGTATGTCCAGTGAGGGGGGGGCTTACTCCTGTTTGCCACCTTCTCTTTCTGGGCGGTCCTGCAGAGGTCTAGTGAGTGGTAACTACTGTTTTGCTGTACTGTTTCAATCTGCAGTATGCAATTAAGACACAAGCCCTGGATATATCCCTGCTGCTGTTGGCCTTGTGAGTAATGCATTGTGGGTAAAGTTAGCTTTCTATATATTATCTCCGCTGGCACAGTCAGCGCTGTTACCTAAGCTTCCCTGAACGATGTTGACGCTCTCTGGTGGTACTCCGTGACTGATAACGTTAAAAGAAAAAATTCTCAATTTTCTTTTGTTTATAAAAACATGAAACCTTTCGTTTTGCAACGCACTTTAACCCTTTGCTGTGTACTTTTGTGATGTCTTTAACTTGTTGTTTTCCATGCTGATCATTGTTTCTTCTCTTTCCTTGCCTTTCCATAATCCCCTTTTTTCATTTAACTCTCACTTCCTTTGGTTTACTTTCAAACCAATTGCCTTTTATATTGCCCTCTATTCTTTTGTGCATCTTTTCTTTTTGTGCTTTTCCACATCTCCCCTTTTTACTTCCTATACCAACCCGGCAGAGAAGTTGATTGAAGGACTAAAATCCCCCGAGCCGACACTCCTGCTCCCTGACCTTTCGCCCCTGGTCGACCCCTTTGGCAGGGCCGTGGACAGCTCCGCTAACGGTAATGCGTCTTTCTCTCTTTCATGGGGCGCTTGTCTGTCTCATCTGTCTAGTTTATTTTTTTCTCCTCTCTCATCTGTTTCTTTTATCTATGCTCATAAGCTGTTCTACATTACCTCTTCTCCAGTAGGTGTTGCAGAGGTATGTGAGGTCTCCCTGATTCCTGGCCTAGAAGCCCCCCAGACCCAGCTCCTCGCTACCAATCAGGACCCCCCTTCCAGGCTGCCAGGTCAGTGCTAGTTAGTTTTACCCAGGGGGCACCATTTTATATATGCTTTCTCATTGTGTAAAAATGGCTGAAGAGGATCCCCCCCCGAAAACCTGGAGTCGACGAGAATCATGAAATCCGGGTTTTTGCGCTTTATTCATCTTGTTTAATTTATTAATCACAGAGACTAATTATTTAGTCACAGGCACATGCTGTGCCGTTTGGTGCCATGTGTGTTTGGGAGGCAAAGTCAAGGTGTCTGACAAAACAAAGAAAAAGAATACTAAGAGTGCTGGGGACCCAGTTCACATGCAGGCATCTTGCCCAACTGAGTACTTGGTCAGAATCTCCCCTTGGTGGTGCAGTCAATGGCTTTTAACTGGGCACAGTTTGTTTTTTTTTCCTTCCACCCCGCCAAATGCAAAAGCAGTAATAAGTCAAGGATAACTCTCAGAACACCACTGTCATACTCTCTTCTGCATTTATGGTAGCTTCCCAGGTCCGACGAAGGATTATTATTGGTCCAGTTGAAGTAGATCCCTAGACCTCCTGTTGGCTGGTGGTGAACTGTGCATGTGATCTTCACCTCTCAGCTCCTTTCTTGGCACTTAATACAAATGTAATACCTCCTTTCTTGATCTGCCTTAACATTTTCCTTTTAACGCCTGCTTCTCCTCCTCTTTGCTGGGACCCCCAGACCCCCTGACTGGGGAGGACTCCCTGCTTGGCTGCTCTCTCCTCTCCCACCTACCTGCCTCAGGGTGCCTCACTGCGTCTGCACCGCCCGCCTCCATTGCCCCTACTTCCTGCTTGGATGAGTTCAGCTCCTCCCAGGCCTTGCTTCCCACGGGTAAGGCCCATCGTGGCCTCAGTCTAAACGTCAGTAGGGTCTCGCTTTACGCCACATACACGCAGCAGCATGTGTTTTTACCCTAATCTCTTGCTGTCGTCATCTGAGAACTTTCCCACACCTCGGAGATGGCAATGTTTAGCACTGCACATCCGTGTCTCTTCCCCTAGTCTTTTTTTCCCCTCTGTACTGATTTGCACCCCCACTCCTCTTCTTTCTCCTGCGCTGTCTCCTTTCTCTCTATCTTCTCCCTTTTCACACCCGCCTTGCAGACTCCCCTTACCTCATCTCTGGCTTTGAGCCCCCTGAAAGTGCAGAGAAGGGCACTGAGGACGAGTTTGACCCCATTCCTGTGCTCGTGCCCAAAAACTCCAGCCAAGGTAATTACAACCCACCAATCAACAAGTGTAACACACTGATTTTGTCTTGATCTACTGGCAGCATCATAAAATCCCTGTCTCCTTTTATTTGGAGCAGTTTCTACAGGAAGGATTCCTATCAGCTTAATGTCATGACAGTTTTGATGTCACCTCCAAAAAGAGAAGTTTCTCCCCTCGTTGTGATGAGATTTTAGTAATTTGGTACAATGTAGAAGGTTTTGTTGTTGGAGACGTGGTAAGGAACGGTGTTTATAGACTGGGGGTAATTTCTCCTTGTTTTTCCCCCTCCCTCCATCTCTTTCTTACATCTCTCGTCTTCACCCCTGGCCACTCCGTACCCCTGCCCTGACACGTGCGTGTGCGCATTCTCTCCTTCTGCCGTCTTAAACACCCCCCATTGTTTGTCTGGCTTCTCCATGGCCTCACCCATGTCCTGCTCCACCCCATCCCAATGTGTGTCATGTTTCAGGAGCTCAGTCCCGCAGTAACAGCAGTAACAGCAGTAACAGTGGAGGCTCTGAGTCCAGCCTCCCCAGCCTTGCACGCTCGCTCTTGTTGGTGGACCAGCTCATCGACCTGTAGAGGCAGGGGGCGGGGAAGGGGGGATTGGGAATAATCAGATAGTTATGGTGATGGTGGTACTGCTTGTACATCATTTTTGCTTTGGTTTGACCACCCCCATTTCTATTTTATCATCTCGCTTTCTGTCTTTCCACGTCATCACCATGTCTGTCTTGCTACGTCCATCTCCCACCATTGCTGGCTTCAAAACTGAAGGCAGTACGAGGTGTATTGGTTGAACTGGTTCTCCCCACTGTTTAGTAGGGATTGGTCCTGCAGCAAGTCTCTATCTCTCTCTCTCTCTCTGACATATATATATATATAATTTCATACTGCACCATAGACACCTTTGTGGTCTCATAGGATCTTTGCCTTTTCCCCCCTGCATCAGTGGCTTTCATTTAAACACCTGCTGACGGTTCCAGTGGACAGAGTTGGATTTGATTTGGTTTGTTCTGTGATTGGTTTGTTCTATAGACCTCCCCAAGAGGCAGGGACTGTGGCAGTATTGCTCCAGCACATCTCCGCTTATATTTCTGTATTTTCTGTTTGCTTTGTTTTCAAGGGGTCAAGTGGCAGATCCTCCTGTTGTGTATTGCACTCTTACTGACTGCAGTACTTTTCGGTTTGGTGGTAATAGGGGCTCCTTTAGGTAGCTAGTGCCACACAAATATAATCCTTGCAGGTTTAAATCCATGTAAGTCTAGTGCTTGACTAATACTACACAACCCACATTTCCTCTCTCCCCTATTCCTTTAACACCCATAATCTTCAAGCCTGGCTTTACTATGCTACACCTGTTTGCTTTTTCAAAGATTGTACTCTTTGTGCTTCAGTACTTGTTTTGTATTTTAACACTGTACTTTCATACTAACACATCTGTAAATGGAAAATTTTTCTCTCTGATTTTGCTTTTTATCAGTTTTTAGTCGCATTGGCTTTTTGCCAGTTTTGTATTGTTGCAACAACTCTAATCCTAACTCTACTTAGTTGAACAAGTACCCGTTTTTCCCCGATGTTTAAGATTTGTGTTTGTGTAGCCTTTCTCTGCCACATACAGGAGATTCCTAATGTTAGATTGTAGCTAATCAGAGGGAATAAAGACACATTAAGAGACAGACAGGCGAGAGCCTTTGCTTTTAGAAAGTGGCCAAAGCATTTCAGATTAACGAGACTGTTTGAAATTATGGCCACAAAATATTGACTTGCACAACAGGCACTGTCGAGTGTGGCCTAATGACGCTCCAGTGAAAATAGGACCTTTTGAAAAGCTTGACAAGACAGTGGTGGTGTCAGTTGGTTGTTTTGAAGCTAAGGGCACAGGTACAGCATGAAGCAGACATATCCGCTTAGATACAGGGAGGTGCCGGGTTCAGTTCCATGCGTGCTGCATGTGAGTGTACATATCGCCATCTCCCTCTCTAGCTGCCATTTTTTCACTTTCGCTCGCCTCGCTGCGTGAATCTGCAAGTGTATATACATACACATGCACACACGCACTTTGTATATACGTGTACATATATATATACATATACAGCACACCTTTTGCCCTGGTTGTTTGTTCTCCCCATTGGAATCTGCAGTGTGACAGAGCAGCCTATCTCTGTACACATATCCTGTATTATACCTCTTTGTTAAACCTCTGTACTGGACCCTCCTCCTGTCACCTCTTCATATCAATAGTGTAAGTACATAGTGAAAAAACTGTAAAAGCTTAAGAATAAATGTGAATATTGATAGAGTGCTATAGAATGAATGTATGAAGTGAGTATTGATATATAAATATATATTATTATGGTCATGATTATAGTTTTAAGGAGAACTGTTTATCATATCTCTGTGTCTTTATGGAGCTGTATTTAAGAGCCTGAACAATGTCCCTCTCTGCCATCTCTTTTGTTCCATGTGTCTTTTTCCAGTTTTCCATCTTATTATCAGTTGCTGTGCAAAATTGCAAAGACAGTTTGCTGGTTTCAATTGCTCCTCCTCTCCACGTCTTGGTCTTATTAGCGCTGATTTGTCAGGGTAGACTTTGAATCCCACCTTGTTTCAGGGCCCTTCCTATCCAGCTTGGCTCCCATTAGTGAATTTCACAGGAGCCGGTTCTCAGTCAAAAGGACGCTACAAAATAAATGCTGCATGTTTCCTATGCCAAACTGAATCCCTCCTTCCACCCCCTTGTTGGGACATTAAAGTAATTAAGGATGATGTAAAAATCTCTCCTTTTCACTTAAATCCACATATTGAGCCAAGACATTACTTTTAAGCCCTTTGATTTATGAAATAAAGGCACAATCTTGCACACATGCAGCAAACATTTGCTGTTAACAGGCATCCATGTTGACCTATGCAAAGCCCCATGCTAAATATCCTGCACTACCGTAATGATTAGGGTTCGGCTTTTCTTTGGTTTTAAAAATCGATATATATATACACATTTACAAATACATATATACATCTAAATGTTTCAGGGGGCAAATGTCCTTTTCCTGAAGGTCTCAGAGCTAGTTGGAAATAACATGTTCCTGTGCTTGAGTAATGATGTATAATTCAATGTCTACCTTCTATATTTCTTATGACGTCACAGGGTTATGGAATAAAATGTTAACATATCAACATGGTTGGGTTTTCTTATAATTGTCTTTGTTCCAGAGTGTTTAGTGTTTGTATGAAAGATCCTTAGTGCAATTGACACATATTCCTTGTCACTTGCTGTC